TCTCAGCACATAATGCAGTATAAACCAATTGCTAATCTTATACATGATGGCTCTGTTCAATTAATTTGATTTGTTACTGTTGTATTTTAACTCCAAATGTATTACTTGTCCATGGCAGCATGTCAAATATTCGTTTTATTGAACATGGTTTTTGTTGATCCCCCCCCCCACCCTCCACGTCTGGTGAGACGACTGGACGACGCCGGTGGCGTCCGACACCCGACACGGCAGGTGGGTGGGTGAATGTCTCTGGATGCAAACCTAACAACCTCACCCCGAACGCTCCCGCACAGGGCGAGCGAGCAAGTCATCATTCTCCGACGCAAGAATGTCAAGGTGGTGCGTGCCGTCATGATTGTGTCGGAGAATCTCTGCTTTTGATGAGTCTAAACGAAGATAGCTCTAATGCCCTCGCGGACAACTTTATCGTGACTTTAAAAGCGTAGAACTGCCACACGTGACTTTCCTCATACTCTCGTCGTCGGCCCTGCCGCGGCCGTTGGTCCCTCTCTGGTCCCGTTCTCCGGTACATAACGCTCCGCGAGGCAGGAATACACGTGCACGCGTCTGTGGGTGTGTTTGGGCTGCGTAATTACTCGTCTTACAAGAGCGTGCACAGCACACACACATTGTGGGCGTGCCCCGCGCCGGTGGGTTTGAACTCCTGCTCGCGCAGAGCAGGCCGAAAGAGGGGTTCCCCCCCCCCCCACCCCCCTCCAAACCACCACGCATCATGTTTTCTCCTGCACCGCCCAACCTTTTCACCTCAACCATCCTTTCATTGAAACGCATGTATATTTGTCGGTAGGGAGATAAATACGGCAGCCCGTCGCCTGCCGGGTATAGGCAACACGCTCGGGCTTCGTCTCGGGCCACAACAGCAAAGTGCCGCGCGGGTTCGGTACCTCGGGTGCCCGCCGAGTACCACTCGATGGGCATGAGGCTCGCTCCCTATTAGCACGGGCGAGGGCTGGGCGGGGCGACGCTGGACGTGGCGAGGCGGAGGCGGCCTGTGTTACGTCGGGCTTGCGTCACTTTGGCATTGCCAGTGAACCACACACACACGCGCACACACACACACACACACACACACACGAATGGAGTACAAGCACCCTACCTTTACCCCCATAGTCTTCCCCGTACAGCATAGCATACCGTATATCGCCCACCTCTGACTAAATAATTTCCCAATGAGCCCCGCGAGCAGGTCGCTGGGTGTCACCATGGTGTCACGCTATCACGCGAGCGCGACACCACCGCGCCGTGCGCAAGGTGACCCAAGGCCGGTGGTCTTAGATAAAGAACGTGCCCGGGCTACACGCTGGCTCCGATAGAGGGAATGCCCTGAATATCGTTGCGTAAAGAGCTCGCTTTTTCCTTTCGGGGCGCGCGACGGCAAAGGAGAACCAGCGAGGACTTGTGTTATTCTCGTCTTCTCAAGAGTGGGAACAAAGAACGCGAAGTGAGGCGCGCATGTGCGCCATCGGCCGCTTCCCGTCCCGGCTCGCCTACAGCTGAACGCTGTAGCGTTTGAACTCGGCGCGCTCTCGGCGGCGGGATACATATCGGTGCGGCTGCGTGCGTGGCGTGGCGCCGCAAAGTAGTCCTGCTTCTGCCCGCTCTACGCAGTTCCTCCGCGCTGCCCTCTGACCTGGCTGCAATGCGTGCGCCAAGTGCGCGTCGAACGTGAAAATCTGGGTACGTTGATGGGATTATTTCATTGGGCGGCGATAACTCGTTGTAATAGGCAAGAGGATCGGCGAGCGTGTTCTGTTTTCTTCGCGCCCCCGAGCAACTAGTCAGGATGGCCGAGCGGTCTAAGGCGCTGCGTTCAGGTCGCAGTCCACTTCTGTGGGCGTGGGTTCGAATCCCACTTCTGACAGATACTTTTTTTTCACCGTTCAAGTTCACTTTTTCAAAAATGATAATTTCTGGTGCACCTTTTCTATTCTGACTTCTCTATTAAATCACGTCTAAGCAAAAACTAAATGTTTTGATGGGCAGATATGCCAAAAAATGTGGAACGCTTCACGATTTTGCGTGTCATCCTTGCGCAGGGGCCATGCTAATCTTCTCTGTATCGTTCCAATTTTAGTATATGTACCGCCGAAGCGAGTACGGCATTTGGCGTGGTTTCATTTGTATATATACCGCAGCCACACGGACGGAGATAGCAGCGGGTGGCAATCTTTTTACCAGAACGATAGCCCCCTGACAACATAGAATAAACAGGTAAAATAAACCCTCATATTGTAGATAAACCTAATTTCTATTATTTTTGTCAAATAATATTTCTTGACAATTCGTTCTAACTTGGTGTATTTTTAAATAAAACTTTCGTAACTCGCGTATAGAAAGGAGCAAGTTGCCATCTGTCGGACGAAAAGTGAAACTAAGCGGTCAGCTGTTCCTTGTGGGATTTGGCGCCAAGGATCAGATTAGATGAGTTCTGCTTTTGTCTCGCCAGGCCCGGGCCCGAATTAACCTCAACCGTGTGTTCTCAGGCGTTTGCCTGACATCTAAGAAATGGAAGATACTTTTGGGGAAGATGATTATTTTGGTGAAGATGAGCATATTCCTGCCCACGAAGTGTTGCAAACTTTAGAAGACGCTTGGTTAAATGAAAAGTTTTGTCCAGACCTCTTGCCTTCTCAAGATTCGTATGTTGAGGCCATGATGGAACAAATTCAACAAATGGAAGATAATTTAACCAAATTAAAAAAGACTGACTTTAGAGTTGAAGTTCATCATATGGAACTTGCAAGAATCAGGTACATAATTACAAGTTACCTCCGCACTCGTATAGAGAAAATTGAGCAAAACACTGCTTTTATTTTGGAGCAAGAAACTACTCGAAGTCCTGAGAATCCTCATTTGTCTGAGGGTGAACTGAATTATGCAAGGGAATTTCTTGCTCTGCAGGAAAATCATCAAAAACAATTGGTTTTGAAACATGTGCCTCCTCCTTTTCAAGACTTCATGTCAACTCAACAGTCATTAGTTCCAAATCTCCGAAGCCATATTTTTCTTCGAGCCAAGAAAGATGTGAATGGGGTGGTGATTGAAGGCGATCGTGACACTAGAGATGAAGAGGTTGACTTAGAAGAGAATTCTCAGCACATAATGCAGTATAAACCAATTGCTAATCTTATACATGATGGCTCTGTTCAATTAATTTGATTTGTTACTGTTGTATTTTAACTCCATATGTCCATAGCAGCATGTCAAATATTCGTTTTATTGAACATGGTTTTTGTTGATCCTTTTCTATTATAATTATTATCAAAATAAGATATTTGTGTTAATTCTTTAATCCAAAACCAGTCAGCATATCTCAAATCCTTTTAATGCTGGCTAAGATGGCTAAGAGAAGTACAAATTTTGTTTTGGATATTGCAATTACCTCATTGTAATCTGATCAGTTGTAAGATTTCTTTTGCTCTTTCTTCCGGAAAAGGGATAATTTTACAACCAAATGTTGTACTGAAACTTCTCAGGAAATGAGGTATTGTTCTATGTAAAGTCATCTGCATACCTAACTCTCTTGTGAGGGATGTGACGCCTTTTCCTTCAATTCCACATGGCACAATATGCTCAAACCACTTGAGGTCAGTGTTGCAATTCAGTGCAAGACCATGTGATGTAATGTGACGACTTGCATGGATGCCAATTGCACAAATTTTGTTGTCAGACACCCATACACCTGAATAGATCAGAAACAATTTTAGTTTGCATAGAATTTATTTAAATAATTCAAGATTGTTGGAATTGTGCCCACCAGTGTGTGGTGATCTTTCTGCTTTAATACTAAACGATTTACACATTGTTATAATAGTTTCTTCAATGGCACTGACATAGCATCTTACACCAGGGTTTTCCAAATTTTTTAAATTTATGATTGGATAAGCGACTAACTGACCAGGTCCGTGGAATGTAATCAAACCACCACGGTTTGTTTTGTAAAACTCTGCCCCAAGCGCTTTCAGCCTTGTCTCTTCTTTGGAATCATAGTCTTTGTTACGAATTCCTACCGTATAAACAGGGTCATGTTCAACTAGAAGTAGAACATCACCTGGTGTTGAGCATTTATTTGGAGACCCATCAATTGCATTTTTATAACTATCAGCCAAATGCTTTTGGATTTGGAGAGCTGGATGGTATGCTATTCGACCCAGATTCCAAACATGAACAATGCGAGCCATGTTCAAGTAGTCAATGAATCAGTCAGTTGACTTATATTTGAGCTTATTGTAAATAATCAAGGATATCTGAAACAAAAGAATCAGTTTTAAGTTTTTCTTTGAGTTCAACCAAAAAAAAAATTGGCTTACATACTTCAGTGTACTCACATAAGCATCAGTTGCAGCATATAACTGTTGGTCATAAGAAAGCTCCAAGTCCCATCTGCTCATTCGAACGGATGCACTTTTGTCTATTTCTACCGATAACTGCAACATAAATATAATTACCAAATGAAATCAAGAGCATGTCCCACTCAGCTCTGCTGCATGTCTTTTTATTATAATATAGATGACAAACTACCAGATGCAAAGCAAGTCTGTCAAGGCTCCAAGTTTGAGCACACAACAGCACCTCATTAGCCAATTCTCCTAAGTCAATTACACGTCCACTTTGAATGAGCTTGGCCACTGGAAAGTCGAAGTCCTTACCAAGCTTCCAAATATCACTGAAATGTACATCAATGAAAATGACGATAAAAATTGATTTGATAAATATACTTCTTAATGCAATTGCCCACAAGTAGGACTTTTGGGTGTTTAATAAGATCTTTAAAGATCTTTGGAAAACTCCTCATGCAGCTCACCTTAAAGAAAAAGGGAAAGTGTTTCAGTAAAATATATCTAAGCAATCATTATTTCTAGTTGATATGCACCACATTTATTAAGACAACTCACATGGAAGAGGTAACAGGTGGTTTCATCACAGCAAACTTGTATGAGAGCTACTTTTCCTGACCCCTGTTGGGTAACAGGCCACTCTGCATCCAAGCCCAAGACAAGTTCGTCCTTCTGCTCAGCCTGAGATCTGTAATTTGAGAGCAACATATGTAGTAATACTGGTACATAAGAAAGGCAAAGTAATCAAGTTAGTCCTTGAACAACAGAGATAATGAGTTACATGCATACTAAGAGAATATACAAAGCTTACATTAAAGTTTCACATGCCAGTCCCATATCATCTACAGTGGGGCAGTATTTAATTACTCCAGGAAAAACTAGTGGTTCTTTCTTTTCGTTTTTCTCATTGCCTGCATGAACCTATAAATATACACAGAATACGAAAGTCTTGCTGAAAAAGCTATTGTCACTGAACGCTACAGAGCTTATAAAATTGAAAAATGGGTGGCAGTACTATGTGACAAAAAACAGTTTTTCTCTTCAGTGAACTATTATGATGTACTAGTAAAAGGTTAGCACATGTGCCTCTTCCTTTCTACATGCTGAATGTAATTTACTATGATTTGAGGTGTTACCTTTGTATGCTTGCTCATCCACTCGGGTAGTTTTCTTGCAACACGTTTCTCAGCCATTACGAAATTTCTAAGGTCGAAAAACTAAAAAGTTTTCACACGATACCGCCTGTTGGCCTCTTGCTTTATCACGCACTAGCAGACGATTTTGTTTCGAAGTATGAGAATTTTGGTGTCACCTACAGCAGAATGACATTCACATTCGCATCGTCGTAACCAACCGTGGATCAAATCAAGGAAGTTTTCTGTTTATCTGTTTACATTTCATTGTATATAGAATATTTAAAATTCTGTTCAGTGGTGTAGATTCCACAACATCTTGAAATGTTCCGGGATATCGGCTGATAAAAAGACGGACAGTATAAGCCAACAGAAATTTATTAAAAATGAATCTTCAAACTCTATTTCAAGACTTCAATCCGAGGTAATTCCTTCCACTTTAAATAAAAATAGTTTCAATCCGTGTTCATTTTTGTTCGATATTAGTCAGCTATCTTCTTAAAAATGTATGTGACAATTTCTTCAGTTTTTACCATGCTAGTGTTTGAAGTAAATTAAACTATGGCAATCTAACCTCATGCTGTGAAATGTTCTTGATGTTTTTGTTCCTTCAGTAAATTCTTGGTGCACACATGCCTTATGATATTTACTGCATTATTTGCATTAAGACTTGATAACACCATCAATTGGAGTTATTGGACAGTGTTTGCTCCAATATGGTTTTGGAAGTTTATGGTTGTTGCTGGAGCAACAGTAGGAAGTTACGTTTGGTCAAGATATCCTTTGTCCCGGTAAGTCACTTGTCAATGTCTGGTGGTGATCATTGAACTCCTGCAGTGTAACCGTTAAATTATAACTTTTCTCAAATCCAATTTTTCAGCTTAGAGGGGGAGGCATATGTCCACTACAAGGCAATGCTCATCAGCTTAGCCTTGCACTTGGTTCTAATGATGTTTGAACTTCTGGTTTGCGACAAACTAGAAACCGATCGCCACCTCTGGATCCTTGTATTCATTCCTTTGATCTTTATATCTATTGTCTCAATTGCTGTCTGCATTTGGGCAGCAAAGCATGATCGTTCTTTTGAGGTGAGTTAGCTCTGAGTTAGCTATGTGGTCTACAGTAGCAGCTAAGAGCTGTAATTTTTCAAGTGTATATTTTTTAATAAATTTTCATTTGTTCTTATTTATTTAACAGTTGGAGCTTTTTTGTGCAGTTAATATTCTCCAGTTCATATTTCTTGCCCTCCGCCTGGATGGATTTATTTCCTGGAGTTGGGAGGTGGTTTTTGTACCTCTCTGGATTGTCATGTGTTTGTCACTTGTTGGTGTGTTGTACTCTATTATTTTTGCAAGTATTTTGCTCCGCACACCAGAGGTCAATGCTCAGCAACGGCGCTCTTCCTTTAATTCTGCTCTCAGTTACACCTGTTTAGTGTTGCCTATCCTAATATTTCAAGTAAGTCTCTTAATGAGGAAATGCTTAGCTGAAAGTTTATTTGTTCTTAATTCCTTATTGTCATGTCTTCTAATTTTGGTCTCAGGTGCTGCTTACAAATAAATTGGATGAAGATATCTCTATAAGCTTCTTGGCAGTTGTGTCACCACTCTTTATCACTTTTATTACTCTCATTCTTATGTCATTTGGGTCCAAAGGTGGAAACAAATGTAAGTAGATCTTTCTGTATCCAATTTTTTGATCATATATGTTCCAACTATCCTCTTCTTTACCTGTTAAGTTTGAACTGTGTCTTTTTTCAGGGTGGTTTGGAATTCGAAAGGATTTCTGTGTATTTCTCCTTGGTCTCTGCCCTTTTCTTCAAGAATATGCTAATATTGCATATAATTCTCATCATGTTGATGATAGGGATCGTACCGGTGGAGGAGGAGATTCCTCTGCTACAACGCCAGCTCCAACTCCTCCTGCATATGAACTCAGAGATAAGGCACAAAAAAGGACAAACAAAAGAAACGACTTATTGAAACCAGTTGTGCCATTTATCTCAATAGATATGCCTGATTGATCAGTTGATTAACTAATGTTAACCACTCAATCATCCATGTTTGTTGTCCTTTTTCCTTTCCAAATTTTGTAAATGTAATGTTAAAGTACAATTTTGGTACTTGTGCCAATTGTGATTGCATGCTGATTATAGCGTAGGCATGAAATTTATGTGATATGTAAACCATTTGTTTGATGGTTCCTTTTTAGCAGCCCTTATACAGAATCTAATCTTATTTAAGTTCAAGTGGATTTTTCTCTGGTCTAGAATGACATTTGACATTTATGAAATGCGGGTTTAAAGCTACCAACTTGGCACTGACACTTAAAGAATTTAAATAGAACTCTGAGGTGTATAATGAAGTCTTGGAAAAGGGCCTTTTCTCAAGATGATGCTAAATGACTTCCTAGTGAGATATAGATTTATTTATGAAACACTCATCTAACTAGATCATAAGACATTTTTAATTCTTTCAACAGGCTATGTTTATTGAAACCTTTATTTTTAGATTTTAGCGTTGTTACTTGAAACCTATGCCTATGCGTAGGATACCAATGACTTTACTTCTATGATTTCTAGGGTACCATGATTTGCCTTAATGTACAAATGAACTAGATTGGTTTTAGGGAATTTCAGTAAAATGTTATCACCTTGATTATTTTCTTCTTCTTTGCTGCTGCTCGATGGAAGAGCGTCAGCCAAGGCCTGTGTTCTTGTCATGCACAAATTTTAAAATCTAATTTTGTTGTATCCCTACTCAAACGAGTTGGGTAATTTTATTTGGAACCAATAACATTAATGTTTCTAAGAGGCATGACATATTTTTGTGTGTTTTAGGGGATAGCCTCAAACTCTATTGTGAAAACGGATGCAACATCCAATTGAAGACTGCTTAAAGTACATCTCATGATAGTAGGTTTATAAAAATCAATCAATTTAATATAGACCAACTTATAGATTATTATGAAAGATGTTTTACTTCCTTGGTTGATTGCATGTTAAAAATTTGTGTGTTCTGTTGACGTTGCTGTGTGTACTTGCCTTAATTGTTATCAGATTTAATTTTATTGTCTTAAGAATCTTGTCAACATTAACTGAGTATTAAAAAATGATGGTATTCTCCTGTCTGATATGTGTAATGTTTTGGTTTTCATCCGTGACCATTTAAAGTCTCTAACTACAAGACCAATCAACAGGAATTTTTCCTTAGGAGAATTCTGTGGTGAGTAGACAATCATAATCCTGAAACAAGATATTTATTGTTCAGTATGTCCATCACAAGATTTTGCATTGAGTCTTAAACAAGTTCTTTGTTGACTTCCTGATAAACATTTCTGGGAACCCATGAGTCATTGGACCAATTTAATTTTTAAATTTTTAACTTTTTGAATGTGGTGCTTGACTGTAAAGAGTGTAAGGGGGCACTTTTGATTTTCCAAAACAAGTACAAGTTCCTTACTATACTACCAATCACAGTGATAGCAGTAAAAAAACAAACTCCCATATAAACTTCATTTCTGATCGCCTATTCAGTATCTAATAGACATCATTTTGCATTTTACTTTTGTGTTAAGTTATAGTCTGACATTATCTTTATAATCAACGACATAAATTTTAATTACAATGTATAAATTTCCTTCTTTTTTAAATATAGTAGCGGTTTAATTGAAAAAGTCTTACTATGACAAACTTTCTAACTAGAGCACTGATGACAAACAACCCATCGTGTCGGTATGACCAACGCAATTTTTGCTGTCAGAGGTAATACATTTTGTGTTATGTTATTACTCTTTGGTATTTTAAAGTGGGTTTGCAAAAGAGATCAGACTTGCACATTTGGTGAAGTTTTGTGATTCTCACAACTCTCTGTTGAACCTTAAAACTATGAAACATACATACAGTCTACAGGTTGTTGTCAGTGGCAGTGAGCAGATCGTTTTATCAAAACATAAAACGAAACATCAGTGCAAATAAATAAAGATGATAACAAATCATTTAAAATATTCTTAAATAGCATTGTGTGTTTGAAAGCACAGCAGGTATTTGACTGAGCACATTGTTTGTGTCCACTTCGGTTTATGCAGTTAAAATGATTCTGCTGATGTACAAAACCTTCATTTTAGTGCTCAAAGTACCCAACAAAAACAAAGAAAAAATGGATTTGGCAGTATTTTTTTTTTTTTTGGAAGATAATCTTTTAAATTTTGGACTGAATAAGCACCATTCTTTGTTCTGAAGACATATATATTTGAAGAGTAAACTATGTTTGTATACAATAAATTTCAATGTAAGCCAGCTCCACTGGAAAACATGTTCAGTAGACAGATTACCCATCATAAGAGAATAAATAAACTAGTAGTTCTTAAATATTTTTTTAAAAATCAACTAAAACACAAAATAGCTTTTTTTTAAGAATCAAATTACATCTGACGGAGATCAGTTTCATTGATTTGATCCTATGACTAAAGTTTTGTCAGTAAATGTCCACATTGAAAGTTTTACAGTGGTTAGTGTTTTCACTACTTTTATCCACTGTGTTGAAATTTTAATAATGCATTCTGGTAAGAAATAAATAATTATTAGATTCTATATTCTAGAATGAGAGTTCGCCGTGCTCCTTGAATTTCTGGCGTCCTTATATTTCGAAAAAGCTTTATGTTCTTGTAAATCAGGAGGCACACCTAACAATCAAAACACAAATTTCCCCAGGATTTTAAAGAACCACAATACCCTCATCACATTCATGATTCTGGGTAAAGTCGTTTCCGTGGATGGGAAACTTTACCACAACTTGGAATGTCTTCCCTCCCTCCTTGCGTGACCTTCCCTTCCAGGTGGAACAAAGGGGCGCGGACGTTTGGGAAGTTGATTCCATGCAAACCTGACCAAGCTGAGCCTCCCAGCCTGGTCAGCTGTATAATTGAGCAAACGATGAGGTTTCCCTGGGCTCGACCACAAACCACCACGTCTGTGGAGGAGGGCTTTCAAAGGTGTTTTATTTAAGCAGTGGCTCCCCGCTGAACGTTCACGGTTATCCCTGTACAAGTGTTCAAACATTGCCATAGGAGCAACTGCGGCGTGGAAAACCCCCCTCCACTTGATGTGTGGCCACGATGTGGCCTCAGTGTAGCCTGTGGGCGGCGCCCGGGCCGGGTCCGGAGGCGTGCTCAGGCCTCTGGGCTCCGGGCCAGGTGGGACCGCGTGCGGTGACCTCTAGGTGACCTCTAGGTGGCCTGCCCCAGGCACAGGGAACCCGCCCTGTCGAGATCGGTCAACGCCCCGCCAGCGGCCAGCCGTTCAGGCCGCAGTAGCCGGGTGGAGGGCCCGGGCGAACAGGGTCCAGAAGGCGAGGATGACGAGGACCAGGGGGCCGCTCGGGGCGAGGTGCGCGCCCGCGCCCCACCCGCACTCCACGTCACTCTTCATGGACTCCATGACGCTGTGGCCGCCCCGGCCGCAGTGCGCCTCCCGCAGGTCGTCCTCGTGCAGCTCCTGGCAGTCCACGTTCGACTCCCAGTACAGGAAGCGGCGCGACTCCTGCGCCGGCGCGGGCCCCAGCGGCCGCTCGGGCCGCGGGCACCAGTACTGCCGCTTCTTGCGCTCCCAGACCTCCACCCACCTGCAGGTGCACAAGAGAACGGAACAGGTCAGCGCCTGCGAGGTGGGGGGTAGGCACGCCCGCCGCGCAGCCGTGCTCGACGGGACGGCCTGCCGCCCATCTCCGGGCGCTCTCGCTCGCTCGCTCACACAACCACGCGACTCTAGGGGAGGGGGAAAGGGGGCAATACCAAGTAGAGCCCCAAAGGATCAGGACGATTGGAGTCGATTGCACGCCTGTAATATTTGTAACTCAGGATAAACATTTCATGGGGTCCGTATTGACTCCACTGACTGTCCTGATCCTTTTAAGGCCCAATAAGACCCTAATTTCCCCTACAGACACGCGGTTGTCGCACGACTCATAACACTGACCCGAGGTCACAGTCGCAGGACCAGCGGTTGCCCGCCATCTTGAGGCCCGTGAGGAACATGCCGCGCTGGTCGGGCCTGCCGGCCATGTTGGGGTTGCCGAGGTGCTTGAGCGAGTTGTTGCGCAGGTCGAGCGTGAGGTTGCGCACGTGGTCCATCTGCTCCCAGATGCTGCGCGGCAGTGACTCCACGCTCGTGTTGCGCAGAGTGAAGAGCAGTCGTGAGGAGCGCACGCCCTGCAGGCACAACAAGGGTAAAGTCGATGTCACACGGTCGTGGACACGCCGCGCCGCATGTGGACACTTTCAGAGGTGTCGTCATTTAAAAAAGAGATCTAATAAGGATTTTAAGTTGGTGAATGTGAAAGAGAAACTCCCTACCATGAAGATATCGACGGGGAGCGAGCGGAGGTAGAGTCCGGTGAAGGTGATGTTGAAGAGCTTGTCCGGTAGCGGGCCGCGCATCTCGCCGTCCAGGTCCTCGGCGTCGTCGTCAACCTGTGGGCACGACAGCATCACCAGCTCAGCGGGGCAGCTATGCCGGGTGGAGAGCCGTCAGGGCCCCGGTCGGGAACACCGTCGGGTACTACGAAGCGCCATCCATACCCACCTCGACGAGCAGACTGCGCAGGCCGTGGTTTTCTTGCAACCTCATGGGGATGTTGAAGTCCGGCACACCGCGGTAGGTGGACACCATCAGGCTCTGCAGGGCATTGATCTTGGAGAGCGCTCCGGTCTCGAAGTGCTGCAGCGGCAGCCGGCGCAGGTCGAGCTCTCGCAGTCGCTCAGCGCCGCCGAGCAGGCTCGTGTTGGACAGCACGCTGATGGGGTTACCGGCCAGGTTCAGTCGCCTCAGCTGCGGGAGCTCCGTCGTCAGCAGCGGCACCTGCAGGTGAGGGCGCGCCCATCCACGAGTCGTCAATCGGCAAGGATCTCACAACACTTATCGAGGTGTCAGGTTAAAATACTTTTTCAGAAAATTCAAATCCCTTGTCAGGTGTCACTTTGCTGATGCTGCAGCTAGCTGCGCGGGACGCACCTGCGAGAGTCCGTTGAAGCTGAGGTCAAGGCGGCGGAGCGACGAGAGGTGGTTGGCCATCTCTGGCGGCAGCTGCACCAGCATGTTGTGGCTGAGGCGCAGCGCCTGCAGCCCCGGCAGCTGCAGCTCGGGCACGTTGTGCAGCGTGAGGTTGCTCAGCCGCAAGTCCAGCAGCGACTCCTTCACGTTCTGGAACGTGCGGCTGCGCGGGTCCAGCCGCAGCTCCACGTTGTGCGACAGGTCCAGGATGGTGAGGCGCGGCAGCGTGGAGAAGGGCGCGTCCTCGAGCTGCGTCAGGCGGTTGTTGGAGAGGTCCAGCACCTGTAAGGACTGGAGTGGCCGCGGGCGGCGTCAGCGACGAGCTCACCCGTTGGACGTCGGACTCTGCTGCCGCGATGGCTACTGACCCGGAAGCGGTTGAGCATCTCGGGCGCATGCAGCGCCACCAGGTAGTTGTTGGACAGGTCCCACTCCACCAGGGTGGACGCGGCGACGGGCGAGAAGCTGCTGACGGGCAGGCGACTCAGCTGGTTGTGGCTCAGGTCGACGCGCTCCACGCCGGCCTCGGACCACAGGTTGTCGGGCAGCGAGCGCAGGCGGTTGTGGGACACGTCCACGAGCCGGAGACTGTTGAGCGCGCGGAACAGCTCGGCGGGTAGGTCGACCAGGTAGTTGCGGGCCAGGTAGAGCACCTTCAGGCACAGAGAGAGGACGAGTATCATCGACGGGCTTACTCGGCGCACATGTGTATTGTCGTGGCTGGTTGGCCCCGGACCTGCAGCTTCCGAGAGTTTCTGAAGGTGTCGAAGTCGATCTCCAGCAGCTGGTTGGCGGACAGGTCAAGCCACGTCAGGTGCGGCATGTTGCCGAACACGTCCCGGGTGGCGTTGCGCAGCGCGTTCCACGACATGAAGAGGTGCGTGAGCGAGGACTCGACCGGCCGGAAGAAGTAGCGGGCCACGGTCGACACGTTGTTGTGCGACAGGTCGAGCATCTTGACGTTGGAGTGGAACAGCGCGTCGCGGCCGCCGCCCAGGTGCTGCTCCAGGTGGTAGATGTGGTTGTGGCTGAGGTTGAGCTTGAAGGAGGACAGCGTGCCCACCTGCTCCAGCATGCCGAAGTCGAGGTCCGCCATATCGTTGTAGGCCAGGTCCAGCTCCTCCAGCGCGGGAAGGTTCTGGAAGGCCTCCGTGTCCATCTGGAACACACAGAGGTCAAGTGAGTGCGGTGACCACACTGTGGTCCCGGGCCTGCGGGCTGGACGAAGGCACTCACCTGCTGCACGCGGTTGCCCCGGAGGTCCAACTTCCGCAGCTTGTCCAGGTTGGCGATGGCGTGCCGCTCGATGCGCCCGATGCGGTTGTCGCTCAGGTCGAGGCGCCGGAGCACGGGGAGGTCGTACACGGAGTGCTCCGACAGCACGTGGATCTCGTTGAAGGACAGGTCCACCTCTTCCAGCTGCGCAAAGCGGGATGAGCGATTCAAACCGAACACGGTCACCAAAACATGCATGGTAAAGATCGTCGAATGCTTGTTCCTTACGTGTATGTGCGCGTCCGCGTCCAGGGCGCCGGGCGGCAAGCTCTCCAGGGTGTTGTCCCTAAGCAGGAGCGTCCGGAGCTTCTGCAGCGGCCGGAAGGAGTTGGGGGACATGGAGCGCAGGCGGTTGTGGCTCAGGTCCAGCAGGGTGAGGAAGGCCAGGTGACGGAGGGCTTCGCCGGGCACCTGGCGCATGCTGCCGAGGCCGCGTGCCATGCGCAGCTCCAGCAGGCTGTGGCCCACCTCCTGGAACGCGTCCTGCTCCAGGGTACCGATGTTGGAGTCGGACAGGTCCAGGAAGCGGAGCCCGCGCACGTAGCGGAACGCGTAGTTCTTGACGGACTGCAGGCCGCCGTCGGACACCTTGAGCTCGTCCAGCTCCGGCGTGAAGTCCTCGAAGTCGGACATGCTCAGGTGGTTCTGCGGCAGCCGAGACAGGGACAGCGCGCGCAAGCTACGCATGCTGGAGGCAGAAAGAAAAGGAATGATTGCACACATGGAGATTGCTACGTTTGCAACGGTTGATCAGCAGTGTACCCACACCCACAAAATACACAAAATTGTCCTTTTCTTTGTTGGGTACCCTGAGTAAAAGAAGCTGTTTTTTGTGTCAGCGGCCGGTGCACCTACTTGGCGAACTCCTGCACGGCGACGGGGTTGTTGCGCCGGCCGCCCACGTCCAGGCGCTGCACTCTGTCCCGGAAGGCCTGAAACAGCTTGTCCGCGTCCAGGTCGCGGAGCACGTTGTCGCGGATGTTGAGTTCCCGGAGCTGGTCCAGCCGCATCAGCATCTGCACCGGCAGCTGCGTCAGGTTGTTGGCTGACAGCTGCAGCACCTGCAAGTAGCCCTCCAGCCCGGCCAGGGCGTCGGGGTGGATGTCCGTGAGGCCGCAGTCCCGGATCCACAGCTCGCGTATCCGCGCCTCCCGGAATGCATTCTCCTCGATCTCCGACAGCGGGTTGCCGTCCAGGTAGGTCTTGTTGATCATTTCGAAGTGGTGGAAGGCGGCCGGCGGCAGGTGGCGCAGCTGGTTGTGCTGCAGGTGCAGCTCGTCCAGCACCAGGCGCATGCGGGTCTCGTGCGGCGACACGCCCGGCTGCGCCTCCATGCTGAACAGGCGGTTCGAGGACACGTCGAGCGTGCGCAGGTTGCGCAGGTGCGCCACCTGCTGGTACGGCAGCCACTGCAGCTGGTTGTCGGCGAGGTACAGGTGCTGCAGGCGGTGCGGGCCGCTGAAGAGCGTGTCGCCGTGGACCTCGGCGATAGCGTTCCCGCTCAGGTCGAGCGTCTCGAGCGCCTGGAGCACGCTGAACGTACCCGACCCGGAGAACATCTGCGACCAGTCAGAAGTGGTCAGCCAGCGACGACCCGCTGTGCACCCCCACCCCCACCCAAAAGCAAAACAGAACAATCTTCCCATTCATAACATGTTTCAAAGGCGCACCTGGAGAGCGTTCCTGGCCAGGACGAGGTGGGTGAGCGAGTGCTCCAGGCCGCGCCAGTTGTCGTGCGACACGTCGCTGATCTCGTTGCCAGTCAGGTCCAGCAGGTGCAGCCGCTGCAGGTGCCGCAGCGCGTTGCTCGGCACGGCCGTCAGCCGGTTCCACCGCAGCTCCAGCTCCGACAGGGACCGCTCCAGCCCCAGCAGCGCCTCGTCCGCCACGTGCACCAGCGGGTTGCGGCTCATCTCCAGCCGGTATAGTCCTGAGAGGTCCAAGATATTTGTACCCTATCCGTACTAAGTGACCTTTTTGGGGAGGTTGAAAAATTATGGGGTCCCAAAAGGATCAGGACCACCATTGTGGTCCACAGTGGTCCCATTATATTTGTACCCTGGGGTACAAATATTATGGGGACCTACTCCTCTGATCCTGGCCCTTTAGAGACCCCATTATACTTGAATCCCCACTCTGAAGGTCACGCAGTACGGGGACGATCCCTAATACAGTGCGGCGCAAAGACCCCGAATGGTGTCTAACTGTCATGCGTGCAGTCGAGCGCGAGCGAGTGGAGTCGTCTGAGGGTCCGTCTTCGTCTCGGGGCATATGGCGGCTCGCAGCCCCTCACGAGTAGGCCACCCGCCCACACGTCTGCATGCGGTCACTGACCTGTGCCCGTGAGGAAGTGCGCGTCGAGCGAGCGCAGGCCGACGTTGTCGAGGTGCAGCATGAACACCTTGGACTCGTTGAGCGGCGGCGGCGCGCGCGGCATGGGCACGTCCCGGCACCACACGATGCCGAGGTCGGGCACCGACTTGCTGCACGAGCACAGCGGGTTGAAGAAGCAGGGCGGGTAGTCGCTGGTGCGGTCCACGGCGGAGAGCCGCGACCGGCCGAGGCACCCCGGCCACGCCGCCAGCAGCAGCAGCAGCAGCGGCAGCGGCCGCCACACCTGCCGGGGCCCGCCGAAGGTTAGCAGGTACAGAAACTACTTGCAGCCCAGCCGTGTTGGCACTTCGGCCTGTCAGATGTTCTATAAGAGGCCTGCACTGATTTTTAATAAGCCATAGTCTTCCTTCACGGACTCATACCAAGTGTAAGTCTTCTCCCTCTCCTCGCCTGCAGACACCATAAGCCTCCGTCGCTCAATCGGCCTCAGGCCTTCAGCCGTTCGCAGTATGTAAACAGGCCGTGCCCCACTCTTACTCTACTTAAACTAGAAGCGCGCTTTTCTTGTTCCTTTGCCTTTTTTTGGCGTACCTCTGTGCATCCGGTGGTGGACGATTGGCGCAGCCGGTGCGCCATTCTCGCCCGCGTGTCCATCCGCGAAACCTGAGCCCTTTGCGGCCGGAGAAAAGGGGGAGGATGAGGGCAGGGAGGGGGGGGGGGCAAGATGCACCCGGAAGCCACGTGTCCCGGACCGGAAGTGTACGGGTC